CTTGGCAAATTGGTAATGCATGCCATACAAGTTATAATCTCTCCTCACAAAATAGTTTCTAGAGATTTGGGAGACCAGAGAAAACTTAAAATACTCTAATCAATCAAAAAATATGCAAATATACACAGAAAATTCCCATTTACATTAATGAGTGAGCTTCTATAAAGGGGTAAATTTTCATAAACATCTCTCACGAAAAACTACTCTCTTCCATCATCAGAAGAAACCTGTTTGAAAAAGAACAGGAAAACTTAACGAGTTTATAGGAAAGAGATCAATAACTATCAAGTTAGGAATGGAGGTGTCAAAGTTTTAATCAAGGAGGGAGAGAGGGCAAGAGGTAGATGAATCCACAATTCATTGTTAAAACAAATGGAAACCATGCAAAAGAGAAAATCCAGAATAGATGTTCAGCTCATAAAGTTGATGCTCATCAAATACTCCAGATGTGTTCCTCTACATTTCCCTGCTTCCCTTACACCAGGCTGGGGCAAAGTGACTATTACTGGCCTAATGTAGTATGAGTACATGAGATGATGTAGGAGGTATTTACCGTTAATAACCCTGACAATACAACATGACTCTAGAATATTCACGCACACACACACAAACACACACACACACAGTGTATACCACCTGACAAACAGCAGATGCTCCATGATGATTTCATCATTTGTTGAATGTGTAATACCACCCTATCCTGCGACACTTCTTTGATACCCACACATACCACTACTGACTTTGAGTAAGAAATAGAAAAAAAATTGTGTAAAATACTATTTGTCTGTGTACAGTGTCTAAGAATATTCACATTGATGTATTTGAACAGAATTCCTTGAAAACAATGATGTGAGTCTAGAATTTGTCAAATTGTGGCAGTCTGGAATCTCTACAATGATGTCGATGATGATGATGGTGAAGATGATGATGTCCCTCTGTAATGCTGCTTTGACTGTTCCTACCTTATGGAGTCAATCACCCAGGTATAAACTCATTAATGGTTTCAGTGACAGAGTTCTTAGTTTATCTGCGAACTAAGAACAAGTTGGATATTTTGCAATATATCTCTTGCTGACTAAATTTAACCCATCAGAGGTCAGAAGAATATAGCTAATCAAAGCTAAGAGATAATATTGACCAACATGCATTTGCTTTTTATTAGTGTTTGTAAGTACTCTTTTGTTTAAAAAAAAAAATACTAGCCACCATGATACCTTGTGAATTATAATACCAATCATGCAACAGATAAGATGGTTAGAGGAATGAAACTATTGTAAGGGCTTTTAAATACTGCAAAAGGAAAACAATATAGTCATAGAAACAGTGATATATTATAATGAAAAATTAATACAGAATTTAAAGAAATGACTATAAGAGTCATGTCATACTTTTAATGATTTAATACCTTTAAAAATGTAGTGACTTAATAAAGATATTTTTAAAGGACATGGGTAAAATTCAGAAAAATGATTCTATCTTTTCTCAAAATTATTTTCCTAAATAGAAGAAAAACTGATTAATGAGTCAAGACAAATTCCACAGCAAACATTCAAAAAAATGTTTGACACTTACTGCTAAATAGTTGGCTAAGGAACTATCTTCAACAGGTAGCACTAGATTCTGTAGGAAGGCACAAGGCAAGGGCCCTTTCAATCCATTTGACCTGGAAGGCCCTCTGAGATGGTTGCCCCACTGCCTAGAGAGCAAGAAATTCTTTTCTGTCCTCATTCCGCATAATAATAAGCACTAATTTGTGAGGAGTAAAGGGTACATTAGAACATTTCATCTCAAAATACATTTTCATGTCATAATAATCTCTGACACAACTGGCCTCATACCTAGGCCTTTTTTTTTCCCCTTAAAATATTATAAAATTTGGTTTTTGAAAGCATGAGTTCTTTCCATAATAAATCCAATATCAGTGCATATTTAATTAGAATTATTTTTATTTTGGGGCCGGCCCGGTGGCGCAAGCGGTTAAGATCTCGCGCTCCACTGTGGTGGCCCGAGGTTCGCTGGTTTGGACCCAGGGCGCGCACCGACGCACTGCTTGTTTAAGCCATGCTTGGCGGCGTCCCATATAAAGTGGAAGAAGATGGGCACGGATGTTAGCCCAGGGCCAGTCTTCCTCAGCAAAAAAAGAGGAGGATTGGCAGATGTTACCATAGGGCCGATCTCCTCACAAAAAAAAAAAAAAAAAAGAATTATTTTTATTTTGAAATTTAGTTTTGAACATAAACCATAAAAAGCCATAGTGTATCCTCTGAGTGAAAAATATTATTTTATTTGGAAAAGTTTATAGTTCAGAGTCCATAAAATTGGGAATATGTATTATTAACTATGAAAATGAAATAATGTTTAGAGAATTCCTATTTCTATGATTTTGGGCATGACTATACATTTTCATTTTTAAGGCACATAGTATTTGCTTAGAGTTCCACTATCTTAGGGGACCCACTTAACTTATTAACGTTCACAGAACCCTGTGTGTGAAGTTTCGTCGTTTGAATTCACCCTTCTGAACACTAGAATATTCTGAATAGAAAAGTGTCTAAAGTTTTTTTAAATAAATAATAATCTCCAAAATAGTCAAGGTTAATTTAGTTTAATATTTTGATTTAATGTTAAAACAAAGCAAAACTGTTTCAACATCAAACTCCGAAGTTCACATTTCTCAAGTAGAAATGGAAGACAAAAGCAATTAATCTGTATATAAACATGCTTTTATTGTTTTCTAGGAAGACTGTGCTTTAGAAAAGCACAGCTGTAAACAGGGAGTATGGAAACAGAGCTTTGGAAATGTAAATACACATTTGCACACATCTTTAGGGGGAAATGGTGTTCTAAGAGGACATTTCAAAGGCTGTTAATACCACAGTTACTCAAGAGGTATTCAATGCTCTTCCCTTGGATCCTATTTTAGAATTAGGTTGCATATTCAGTTTCTATTGTATGAAATCCTGGAAAGCTCAGATGGGGGAGGAATCCTATAGCCTCCAGGGCCAAGTGGGCAAGGGTGGGGAGGGGTCTCAGTGTTATATTCCTTATCTGATTTTGACGTACACGAGGACTCTGGAAGCAGACACACATCTCCCCGGGGGACTTAAATCATCCATTAGCTCATAGTGTCTGAGATGTCAGACACAATTGAGATTCCAAGAAGACGGAAGAGCGAGAATGATGAGCAAGCACCCTGTAGGAGAGCAAGAGGCTTCAAAGGGCAAGTTCCTGAAATGGTTCTCCCCTCCAGCTCCGCACCTCCTTTCTTGGCTGATGGCTGTGAGGGTAACAGATTTGAGCACTGCGTCCCGGCTGCGAGAAGCCATCAGCTTCCTGGACGATCGCAGCTTTTCACGTGGTTTCTTCCTTATCTCCCTGGAAAAGAATGAGGCGCATCCTTCTCCCCAAGAGCAGCTCCTGCAACCAGGCTGAGGGTCTGCACCCGGCACCTGCTGTCTCTTGCCCTGGTGGGGCGCGCAGCAGCGAAGCCAGGCGCCAGGCTGGGGGAGGGGAGCTTTGCTGTCACCCAGTTTTGTACTCCCCGCTTTTACAGATCTGCCGAAGTTCGAGAACCGGTCCCTTGCGTCCCTGGGGTACAGTCTGCATCTTGAACGTGAAACCCAGCAGAGACAGCACAAAAAGGCAAGTCTGCCTTTTCCTTTCTTCCTGCCCCCGGCACCTGCGTCCACCAACTCCCGACCAAGGGACTTCTGGGTGCGTGGTGATCCTTCCTCTTTTAGGGACTCTGCCCCACCTTAGTTCAATTTTCTAACAACATATTTAGCATCTAATTTCTTTTTATTTATTTTTTAAAATGAGAAAATTAACGAAGTTCTCCCTTCTTCTCTTTCCCTCTCCTAGTTATGGTATTCATCCATTCAGCAGGGAACGCAGGGAATGTTCTCGTTCGAGGCCGCTTTGCCCCAGGATTACAGAGCTTCGCAGAACTGGAACTCTGAGAACACTGAGGTAGAGAGACATCCAGGGAATCCAAAAAACGGACGCTTTCGGCCTCAGATCAAGTTTTCCTTTCTTCTGTGGACCGGCCCGTCCTGGTCAGTTTCGGGTGCCCACCTCCCACCGCCCTCCCCCGGGACCTCCTGCCCGTCGCTCCGACAGTCCCCCCACGTCAGCCAACTCTGGGCAGCTCCCAGTCCAGGTGCCTGCCACTCCTCTCCTGCCCCCTCCTGTCCACACCCCAAGTCCTCTACGACCGTCAACGCGTCCCTCTTACCTTCTCCTCTGGTCACTAGAGAAGTTTTGAACTGCCGGGGGTCTACACTGTTTCCCAAATTAGGCAGAGCATCTTTCAAGAAAAAACTATGAAAGGTCTGCATAAACTTTGCTGTTGCGAACGCTTCCGTGTCAGCGGCCCTGAGCACACACCTGCCTGCACATGGGCGCAGGTACACCTGTCCGGGAGCACACATCGCCAGGGAGCCTGCCAGTGGGCAACTGTTCAGGGCGCATTCAACTCACTGGCCATAGCCGGCGGGGATGCGCGGCGCTGGTTGGGCATCAAGAGACAATTTCGAAACGGGCTTTGGAAGCGGGGACTAGAAAATGGTGATTCTAAATACACACACAGGAGCGGCTATCCATCTCCTGCACACAGAGCAGTTCTACCCGAAAGGCGCACACTTTAGAGAACAGACCATTGTGGGTTGCACAGTATATAAATCCCCCCGCCAGGGCACATTCATCTTGGAACTGACAGTCCCTTTCGTCTACTGGACTTCTCAGTCTGGGTCCAAACGAGCGCCGCGCATTTGAGGATGGGGACCGAGGCGCTCCCGGAGCCCTCAGCCCCCTCTGCAGAGCCCCCCGAGGCAGGTGCGGGCTCCCAGCCCGGCCGCGCAACAAGCGGGCTGTCTGCCGGAGGACCAGGTCCCTCTTTGCCCCTGTCTCCGCGCGGTCACCTCTCCCCGCCCCCTCTCTCCCCAACAGCCAGCCGTGCCAAACGGGCGCAGGGGAAGGAGAAAGCCGAGCGAGCAACTCACCCCCAGCTTCCTGCTGCGGATTTTCACGTAGCCCTGCTTGACTATGTCGTTAAAGTTGGAGGCCATGGCCAGCGCGTTCGGCTTCCCCGAGTCGAGAGCCGCCGTCCGCCGCCGGGTCCGCGCAGGTCTCGCATCCAGCCAGCCGCCGCCAGCAGCCGCGCCGCCGCCCGGTCCCCCC